ATTTTCTACATTAAAAAGTTGTACAGATTTACATTCCCAACAATGGTATATAAGAGGATCTGCTTTTTTATTTAAGTAATTTTTAGTCTTCAGATAGTTTGAAATCTGAGAGGTGAAAAATATGTCACTACTAATTTGATTTATTTTTCTTTATGAGTAAAGCTAATGATCTTTTCATGAAATTATTAGTTAATTTGTCAAAAGTTTTTTTTAATTTAAATAAAATTATTTTGGTTTTTCTTATTTTCAAAAACATTAACAATATTCATTTTCTCAATATGTATTCTGAAACTTGGCTGGTTGCCATTTATTTATTTTAATTTCCAGATTCTTTTTTTTAAAAATAAATTTGAACTTGGCAAGATCATATGTTATTCTGTAAAGGAGTGGGTCAGTCTTCCAAGAGCAGGATTCATTAATCAGCAGCCCAGGCTGGCAGGGGGGACAGAAAGCAGAATCCTTAGAAAGAAGCAAGGCAGCAGCACACCCCTTCATCCTATAACCTTGCCTCTACCACAAGGAAAGTGAAGTGATAGGAAAATGAGGGATGATATAAGTACTCAGTTTATAATAGGAAGATTCTCTTTAATAGATAAATATATTGTATGAATGAGTCTATAGGTAATTCTTAAAGTTTGCTGATGCTGCTAGTCTGGGGACCACACTCAAACAGTAGCTTTGAATATTGTTGTTTTTGATCTTTAGTCATACTAAGAGGTAAAATGTAGTATCTTGTTTTCTTTTAAGCTTCTTTTATGAACAATGAAATTGAACCTTTTAAAAAATGTACTTAACCATTTATATTTTTTCCCTTTTTCATTGACAGGTCTTTTTTGTCTGTTAGTTTCTGCTTTCTAGAATTGTATCTGCTTACTTTTCTACCAGTAATAATGTGATACCTATCTCATTACAACTTCATCTGCTTAGAATATAGGTAGACTATGATGGGAATCTGTCTGAAGTATAAAGTGTTGATTGTTAAGTTATTATTAAGTATATGCACTCACATAGACATCTAAATATATATTAACCTTTTGTACCTTTTTTATCTTGTTTAGCACTCAGATCTCCTATTTTTGTGGCATCAGACCTAACAATATCTTATTATAAGCTTTTCTCTCATAATTTAAAATTCTCCTTAAAGATATCTCACTTATTTATATTAATAGCCTTGAAAGGTAGATATTAGACCTATTTTCCAAATGGGTACACCAAGGATTATTAATATTTAATAGATTGCCTAAGGTCAAATAGATAGTAAGTGGCAGAGCCTGGATAAAAACAGGCCATTTTTGTAAATCAAAATGGTTCCTTAAAGAAAGGAAAGAAAACTAATGTTTATTGAATCAGTAATATGCAGATACTCTCCATATCTTTTCTAATTTAGGACTCTGGATAAGTTCCTACTTCTGAGGGCACCAAACCAATGAGTCCAGAATTGGGATTCTTTTCTTCCTTGTTCAATAGGATAACATAGTCTAAGAGCTGAGATTTCTAATGCTAATATCTACTCTGTAGTTTACTACTATATGACCATGTAGAAATTATCTAATTTCTCAAGCTTCAATTTACTTTTCTGTAAAATGGGGAGTGATTATAGCAACATCTTCATCGAGCAGAGGAACAAGTGAAATTCTCTAGAGCTTTTAGCACTTAGTCTTTGAATGAATACTCAGTAAATAATAGCCCTTATTATTTCTGTTGACTATTACCAAAGCAGCATGACATAATGAAAAGTGTATAAGGTTTAAGCTATGGAGATGGAATTCTAATTCTAATTACAGATTATTATACAGCTATAATAATCCCAAATAATTTGTTTGGGATTATTATAGCTGTATAATCCCAAACAAATTATTTGCCTTCTTTAATACTGTTTTCTCAACAATAAAATTATTTTAAAAAATTCTACAAACTTGTTGTAACTATTACATAGGAAAATGGAAATGTCACTCCTGTAAATTCTGCAATACTT